ATATCTCACCGCTGGCACCCGCAAATGGCGGGGGCGCACTGGCGCGCGGTGTAGGGGGGCTTGCTCCCCTGCACCACAACCCTGTGGAAAGAAAGAGAGAGAGAGAGAGAGAGAGAGAGAGAGAGAGAGAGTAAGTAGCCATTCGCGGGTCGGGAGGCCTGCTCCCGCCCCATGCCCTAAGCAAAGCAAAGTAGCCATTTTGGCTCAACCGCGAGTGGTTCAAGATCCGAGCCAGCAGTGTGAGAGAGAGGATCTCCAACCCGGGCGATCCGGCGAGAGCGTGCAGGCGAGAGAGAGAGGGGGAGTGTGTCTGTGCCTTGCTGGCAGTCTGCATTGGGTCGGGGGAACCGACAGAAGCGGACCGCATGTCCGTTGACATGCCGAAGCGAGCACGCGAAGGAGGAGGAATTCGCCGAGCGGGGGGATGTCGAACGACTCTGAGTAGGCTGTTGAAATTCGATATGCGCAGAGATCTTTCAAAGGGGAGCAGGGGTCGCTTGTGTCCGGGTTGCGTTGAGCATGGTTTGCAGCTGACCTTGGCGCTTTGCTGTTTTCAGGGTCTTTGTTTACTCACAGTCTTTTTCCCCACTGATCCTACGCCCCAGTGCCGTGGGATGCAAGCAATCTGTAAATACTCTTGTGACAGATGTCTCTGTAGGGGGATTCGATGATATAAGACTTGACTTGTAAATTCTGCTGCGCAGATGTCTACTCCGCCCACCATGCCATGTCAGCGCAGATTTGCCGCTCTGCAGTTGCCTGACAAACCAATTCTTTGACACACGTCAAATCCGGCAGTGCCACTAGACGTTCCTTTTGTGTCTTAAGGTTCAGACGCTCATCTTTTCCCAGGGGACAGCCAATTCAACCGGCACTTTTCTTGCTGCCCCTCAGATATCTCACAGTTTTTGAAAACCCTTACAGCGACAAGGGAATGCAAATTGATTTGGGAAATCTATGCTAGGCTCAGTGGCAACAGTGGCATGATGTGTCAATTCGAGCCAATAGGTGTCCCAAATAAGCGGGGGATGCATCAAAGATTCACTTATCCCAACATGCTTACTGTCAACCTATTGTTGGTAACATATCTTGCTATCCTGATGAGAAACCCGGTACAGTTTTCACGTCCCTTCAAAGCCCCATAACAGATGGGGGGCCAACAGGCCGGGGGACCTCGACAGTCCCCTATGCCCTGTGGAAGAAGAGAGAGAGAGAGAGAGAGAGAGAGAGAGAGAGAGAGAGAAAGAGAGAGAGAGAGAGCGATGACATGAGCGCGAGCGGACCCAAAGCCCGGAGCGAAGACTGGGGTGCAGTGATGTAGAGTTGCAGAGCGATGAAGCGAAGGCAGACCAAACACGAACCCTCGTTGATCCTTTCAGCCGAATCTTACACTTTTGCAGGAGGGTGCTGGGCTACCGGGTCTACCTCAGCACGGGGCTGCGGGCGGGACAGCCGAGGTCTCTCATAGGCTCCTCGCCAGATGATTGGGCTAAGTTCATCGCGGCGAATGTTTGGGGAATATAGGGTCCTTGTTTAACCCTTGTTTAACCCTGCGCAGGTTCAGAAATAGCTGTGGGCACTACGCAGACCTTCCTTCCTGCCGAAAGCTCCATGCAAACATGGACGCACATTGCAGTCCTGGCCTGAGCCATGCAGGGTGTTCTAGACCGAGTGCCTGTTTGCATTCGACCGTCGCTTCTGTGCCTTGTCGGTTTAGGTGTTCACCCGCTCACAGCTCGTCGAGCAGACGACGCCGGCAGGCCTTTCATGCATGAGTCCTGCTTAAACATGACAGGTCTGAGGGATCGATCAGGAGTAGCTGAGCAGCTGGGGTTATGCATCAGGTTTCATGGCATTTTACGCAAATTGCAGCCAGGTGCAAGCATCTCTGACACGTCGTCAGTTTCAACCATCGACTTTCGCGACGATGCCGCTTGCATGGAACAGAGGTGTCGATTCCTTTATTCAATGATCAGTAGCAGGGTAACTGCGATATACCATGCGAACAGGCAGACGCAAAGACACACAACACACTCACAGACAGAGAGACAAGACACACACACACACACAGAGACGGAGTTTAGTCCCTTCGCTTTTCATGTTGCCCACACACGGAGCTTGGGAAAGTTCGTCGGCGAGTTTGGCATGCATGTTCCCCCGCAAAGCCAAATGACTCCTCTTACTTCAGACCAGTTGCGCAGCATGCACCATGAATAAACCAGGGCACAGCTCTCCCTGGTACAAGTGTAAGCCTCAGAATATGAACAAATATCGAGGAAAACCCAACAGATCGGCACATCCTGCACTCAGCCGACAGCAGCACTGAGAATTCAAGGACCTTGACGAACTCGAAATTGGCGGCGTGCTGTTCTGGAAGAACGGCAGCGACTTCACCGAGGCCACCCATTACGAGGCGACGCCAGCAACACGACCACGTAGGTTGCTTTTTGTGTTTCACACCCTCGTGTCAGTTGAATGATGTTGAAGGTTTAGCACCCAACAGATTTACCAATCTGCTACTGTAGCTGCCAAGGAGATTGCTCACTCTCGTTTTCTGCAGGCTCAATGTGAGATAACAGGAACGGCCACGGTGAGCGCTAATCAGGCCCAAGCCCTGCGCAAAAGCCTCGTAAACCCAAGCACCTATCGTAGAGGCGCTTGCAAGGGCAAGTGCCTCCCGGCCCGTGAATGACGTCCCTAGCCGAGGTCTATCTCGCCGAAGACCGCAATGGCCTCCGCCCCAGCTGAGCCCGCCAAGCAGGCTTAGTCAGCAGTGTCAGCGCGTTGAGCTTCTTTGCAATCTCTTCGAAGATATATACAGAGACGCTTACATACGATGATCAGTTCCAAATGCTGTAACTTAACTGCTTGCAGGGTTGACTGTGGCTGCGGCTTTTTTCTGCGACGTGTTGAGCACTTCTCTATCGTAGCCTTTTTGTAAATGGATAACTTTGGTTGTACACCGAGGCACGAACCGTTCCTACCTGGGCAATATTTCGGATGGCGCCAGTTTCGCTGCTGGGCACATCATGAGCATGTCTAGTTTTTCTCGCTCCCGGCAACTTGATGGATTTGTGCAACATGCTCTGTTCCGGGGCTGTCTTGTTTTCGAGTGCGGGCCTTTGGCGACAAAGAGCTCGAGAGAACAGAAGCCGTTTGGTCGACCTGTCGGCGACCCTTTGAGGACGTTCCCGCAGACACGGCCTTGGAGTCGTTCAGCCGCTTGGTCACAACTTTTTTGCATAGGTGCATGCAGCACTGCAGTATACTGCAGTACAGGCTGCCAGCCTTGCACTTGTGTGGAATCTCCCGAAGTCGTTTAAGGTCACCTGGTGGTATACGCCCGCTCGGAGCTGGTGGAGCAAACCACGCCGGCAGCTGCGCGCCGCAGCTCGGAGTACAAGTGGCTTCCGGTCTTGGAAACGAACTGAGGGTTCAGGGTTGATAAGGATCCGTGAAGCCGACTGATGGTCCATCGGTCGCGGATGGTCAGCTCCCATCTCCAGGTATCGTCGACACTGTTGCGAGTGTCTCAGCCGTGAGCTTCGTCGACCTGGACCTGGATGAAGATGAGCTTGGAGGTGTTTAGAGGGCCTTGACATGGTCGTGGCTAGCTTTCGGATCGATGCCCTGTGGGAGCATCCGCAAGATGCAACGAACAGTCAGCGGCCATCATTGTCACGCCATCCCGGATCACGAACATGAGCCATCCAAAGCATCACTGACAATGGTCAATCGCAGCCACCGTCACGGTCAGCACTACATCATTCGGATCATCATCATCATCATCATCATTTTCTTTTTCCTCATCTGGGGATCAGCTTTTGATTCAGCGATGCATGCCTTCAGTAGTCTTACTTGATTTGTGTCAACTTCTCCATTGAGCACGGACGGTGCAGGGGGTTGGATGTGGTATAAGACGCATGCAGGTCGCTTGCTGTGGCAAGAGCCGGCATCCACCGAGCGAGTCGAGACGCTCGATTAACACCATACATTCCCGAAGCAGCCGCAAGAGTTGTTTTGGCTGCGGGTTACGCCCTCTCCCCGCATCAGCTTGGCAAAGCAGATGCATTATGGCAGTACATCCTTATTGAACTTTCTACTGCTGGCTTTCTTCCTGCTAGTATCGTTGTGTCGGATCTGAGCCGTCAGTCTGTGTGATGAGCTTGGTTTCACAAAGAAGCTGCAGAGCGTTCGTTGCGATATGCATGTCTGGGGACAGAAGCTCCCAGCTCTCTGCTCGTTCGAAAACGACCCACTGAGGTTCTACGTAGTGTACCTTGCCCTGGACTCGGTCGGCACTGGCCGCTCCCTAGCTGCTGGCGGCTTGGCGTAGATCCGGCAACAAGGCAACAATCTCTGCGATCGACAACCGGCAGTACTCAACACAATCAATCAAGGCGATGAACTTCAGATGTGACATAGCGGTTTCGCATGATTAGCACAGCTGCCAATCGTCGGCGTGATCTTGTGTTATCCCCTCGACGGTTCGGAATGCTCTAATCCGAGGTGGAGAAGTGCTGGTCGGTACGCAGCGCACCACGTTGCCGGCGGACCGCGGGCAGCAAGCGGGACAATTTTTCGTTGCATCGAGCAGGATAACATTCTGTGAAGCGAATCTGCATTGCCTCCTCTCGCCCATGCAGCAACTCTTTCAACGTTGCGATGGGGGGATGCAGCGCCCTTCAGCCTGAGTGATGAAAACGTTGTGTACAAGGGTTGGGGCTCGGTGTCGTCCTTTCTGCCGCTCAGGACACAAGCATCTCCAGCTTCAACCACTTCCTGGTGGCTTACGCTACACTTCGGAAGCCACCTTTAACCACCCCAGACCTTATATCAAGACAGATCCAGAGCGTAGCCTCCACCCCCCGAAGCTTACTTGAGCCTAACCTCGATCAAGTCAACCGGTCACAGCCTCGCCGGCCAGCGAATCCTTTTTCACTGGGCCAGCGGCCAGTGGGTGGCTTGTCGATTCTGAGCTGCAGTTTCCTAAGGTGTACACGAAGTCGACCTTGGCAGAGCAAAGCACACCCGTGGGCGTGGCACTCTACGATTCCACGGCCTTTGTGGGGAACCTGTCCTTCGCGGACAAGGCCGAGATGGGAATTGCTACAAACTGAGTTTTTGCTGATGGGGCAGGGGGGCATTTGAGGTTTTGGGGTTCTGGGATGTCAGGGTGTCGAGTGGCAGTGGCAGCCCGTTGAGCATGAGACAGCGGATCCGACACTCGAAACTTGAGTAAGCTTCGTGCATGAATCTAACGCCCGAAGAGCGTGCGTCCTGACGATCGAAGTCTGAACCCTGAACTCGCTTGTGGGAGGACTTGGACGTCACGGAACTGGGAGGAAACATCACTTGGTCCCCACCTGCCGATGACCGGCTGGTGACCTTCGGAATGAAGCTAGTTCATGAACGTGACTTTTGGGACTTACGTTCTTGTCGCTCTAGATCTCTCAAGCGGTGGAAGGTGTATTTGAGTCCTATGGTCAGGGAGTAGCATCGAAGTTTGTGTGTGTGTGTGTGCGTACTTCGGCTTCGGGTTGTAGCTTCGGGCGGCGCCTGTCTTGACTTGATACCAAATGCAGATACTTCAGTCCAAAGGAGGAACTCTGCCTAGCCCACGCCCGAAGATGCCCGAAGCAAGAGCAAAGTTTCGCACCAAGACATTGTCGCTCACAGCACTCCGAGCCGCAGCACTTTAGGTGAATCTTGCCTCCCCGTCATCAACTGAGGCTGGGCTATAACATCTTCTTCGGCGATGATGCAGCGTGTCAGGACACGCTCAGAAAACTGTCCGGTCAGAGGGAGTTCGGGAGCTCGGGCTCTTTAGTTGCTCGGTCTTCGGTCTTCTCCCGGCCATTCGATGTCAGCGCTTTGAAGTATGCCAACTTGATCTCGCATGTGATGAGCTACTGTTTTGGCCTTCAGTACTTAGCATAGTAAAGACTTTACTTCATCTCATTCCCTTTGTAGAGTAGCTGTGTCGGATAAACTCTTGTCCGCCCTATCCGTCTCCACTGTCAAAGACTCATGTACTTCCTCCGGCTGCATTGACCGAGCAGCTGCAGTGTTAAGAGAATCTCTCGGCGATTTGGAGATAAGTGGCTGTCGATTCGATGCTTTTAGAAGAGGTGGGGTAGGAATTGAGGATTCAAGCTGAAAGATGGCTCTTTAGGTTAATACCAGGGGGGTTCCAGGGACTTGGACTCGAACTTCTCTGGGCGATGGAGAGGACATGGCATGCCAGAAGCTGTTGCTCGAAAGTGTCGCGGCAAACGAGAGCCTGGTCATCGTTCCTCCGGACACCCAGATTCTGAACTTCACCCACGTACTGGTCTACGTCTCTTCGAGTGAATTGTAAGTGCAGGATGCGACTGTAGAACCCTTGCCGACTTCCACTACTGCCCAAGCTTGTTGAGGCAACGTCCGGCTTCTCGGAGCAGACGACTCCTGCAAGCCACCAGATTCTGGATGCCAACGCCTCCGTATCCAGCATCCGCTTAGTGGACAAAGACCTCGAGTCCGAGGATCAAGAGTGCTTGGCACTGCAGGGGGAAATGGAGGCATCCTGATCCCCTCTCTTTTCTTGAACCACTGGAGAGAGTCAGGAGCTTGGCGGCGATGTGTCCTGGACGGCCCCGGAAGGTGCGTTCGGGTGGGGTGCGAGAGATCTAAAGCCTTGCGCAGGCCCATCTTGTCAGAAGATGTAAGCAATCCGGAAGTTAGAGCAGAACCCGGAAGCAAATGCTTGGCACTCCGCGACGTTGGGCTCAGGCTTCCTGGAAAGGGTGGATGCCTACGTGCTGTACCTGAGTGCCCTGGGTCGTAACGTTGATACAACCTGTACATCACTGAAGGCATGATAAGTGTCCTGGTCCTGAGAGTGGTGCAGATGCAAGCGTTTGGCCTGCATACACAGATAGGCCAAAGTCCAAGACTCGTCGTGAGATCATGCGAGTCTTGCATCTGACATCCGCTATGCGTGCTGCTTGAGGTTGTTTACGACTCTCAGGTGCCACTGAAGGCGGTGATCAGCTCCTCAGCCTTGGCACGGAGGTGGCAGTGGGAACAGACATCAGGACAGTGTTCGGGTCGGGGCTGTGGATCGGGACGCTGCCGATGTCGGAAAGCTGATTCAGTTCGACGATGTTCCACGGTTTGAGCTTGAAAGAGCAAACAAGTTCAAGAATCCAGACGGTGTCGGCGTGTTCATTGGTGCTCGGTGTTTTGACACAAAGACGGGTACGGGTAGACATTTTGGGTTTACGTGCAACCGGCTTCTTTACGCTTGTGCGCCGTGCTCTTTGCTTGTTGTGGTTGTCCTTGTTCCTGTTCCTTTCGGCACTTTTGCTGTTCACTGTTTGCTATCTGGTTTCTTTATTCCCCACCCTCGGTGTGGGGTTGTTGGTCAGCTATTACTCCTCGCCCTCTGAGACTACCTCCTGGAGTGCCCAACCCGACAGACTGGCGTGAGACTCCCTGGATTGCCCAACCCCACAGACTAGCGTGAGACTCCCTGGAGTGCCCAACCCCACAGACTAGCGTGAGACTCCCACTACCGTGAGGGTGGGGATGTTCGAAGTAAAATAATTTTGTTCGCTGTTTCCTTCCGCTCCGTGGTTCCATATTATTCTGCGTGCTTCGTTTGGCTTTGTTGTTTGCTTTCGGGCATAGTCAGTGAGATTGCCTTTTGTCTAGTCATCCTCCCTGAGCCTGGCCGAGCCAGATTTATCCATTGCCGCACTCGCTGTAATTACAAATCAACCGGATGCATGCTGTTCTGTTTTCTTGATGATTCCTTGAAGCCAACCTGCGAGTAGTGACACATCAGTACCTCTAGTGGCAATAAATCATGGGTATGCCTCGGGGCAGCACTGATGGGTGGGATCGAGGACGATAAACGATTAGCATTACAAGATTTGTTTATAGGCGACACACCTCTGGTTTCAGTCACAGGAAGGATACAAGTCCTCCACTGGCAGGGCAACCAGGCCTAGCCCAAATCTCAAATCAAGCCTTCCGTTCAATGGTTGTACTGCTCCACAGGCTTCAAACAGAAAACGCGTGCAGCGTTTCATCCTGAGCTCCCAGTGAAGTCTGACATTGCTTCCACTATACGGACTTGTCAAACCTTTCGGTGACACGGAGCCTTACTCTAGAGGCAATGCCGTCAGTTCTTCAGCGGCAGGGAGCATTGGGGGTAGAGGGCGACGGCGGCAGGATTAGGAGTCAAAACAGCAGAACCCATGAACTAGAGACATGCTACAGCAAACCAAGCCAGGTGATGTTTCCTACTGCGAGTTCTACTACTCCACATGTAGCTCCAAGACGACGACTGCTAGCAGTACCAGTACCACGATCACTGCCGCTGCCACTCACAAATTCTATAGTACTGCCAGTACTACTACTACTACTACTACTACTACTACTACTAGTAGTAGTAGTAGTAGTAGTAGTACTACTACTACTACTACTACTCCTGCTGCTGCTACTGCTACGACTACTACTACTACTACTACTACTACTACTACTATTACTACTACTTCTACTACTACTACTACTACTACTACTACTACTAGTACTAGTCCTAGTACTAGTATACTACTGCTACTACTACATCTACTACTACTGCTACTACTACTACTACTACTACTACTACACCTACTACTACTACTACTACTACTACTACTACTTATCCTCCTGCTGCTGCTGCTGCTGCTACTACTACTACTGCTACTGCTACTGCTACTGCTACTGCTCTACTTCTACTACTACTACTACTACTACTACTACTACTAATCCTCCTGCTGCTGCTGCTATTACTACGACTACTACT